GGCGTTCGGTTGCGCGGTCAGGGCTTGAGCTGCGGCCGTTCCCGTACGTGTCACCCCGGCTTGCGACGGCTGAGTGCTGCTGTAATGCACCTTTTCCTTGGTAAGTTGCTTCAGTGCATCCTGAGCTGCTTCAGCGCCCGTGTCAGGTGATAGGGCTTCTTTTTCTCCTTTCCTTTAAAGGTGCTACATTTCAGCATCTTCGCCTTCACCTCTGACCTCGTCTCCTTCTGTATTCTTGTATTTTACTCCCCTTCCTCTTCTTTTGGTGCCTTCTTTCTTATTCCTTATCCCACTTTTTCCCCCTTTCCACCCTAATCCCACGACAACCCATCTACAGCTTGTGTGTTGTCCTTGGTTTTCTGTTTGGGAATCTAAATGTTAGGCTACTTCCCGCAAGTTGAAATTTCTTCTTTCGTATTCGTTTCCTTGGTGTTTTATTTGCTTTCTTTTCTATGAGAAACAAAGGAGGGAGCAGTGGGGGAAAATGGTTACACGGTGGTAGAACTGTCCAGCTGTTTGCTTCTTTTACTTTTGGTTTTCATGCATACTCCCTGGGTGCATGTGACTCAGGTGTATCAGGTTCAGCGGCAGTTTCAGTCCATATTCTCAAGCTCTGTGCTTGGTATTTTGTCTTTTACAGCTTTTCCATGTCCTTGGTCACTTGAAAAGTAATGCGGCCGAGTCTTGCATTTTGTTCCAAATTCACCAGTGTCTTATGCATCTGTCCTATAATTAACTGGAAAAAGTAATTAATTGGGAAAACCTGACTTGTTGAAAGCACTTTAATTAATGTTCTGAATTTTTTTGTGATGAAACATTCCTGCAGAAAATACAGCTGGTTTTACAGTTTTGACACACGAGTTCTCTCATAGGAATGAGACTAAGTACAGCGTGTCATCAGCAATTTGCCCGCTTGTATCTTCCTGTTGATGCTGTTAAACAGATGGTGGTATCTGTTTTATCAGGGAGAAGTGCATCACTTGAAATAACCTGTTAATCCCAGTAAGTGAGTCCTGGTATCTTTAGCTGCACTTAGAGTGGTCACTAAGTGGCAGGAGGATATATTTCTGTTATATACATTAGCACTTGGCATGAGATGGTTTTGTTTTCTTGGGGTTAGAGGCTAAAAATGTTCTTTGAATAAATCTCTGGGTTATAAATAGCTGTATGTATTTGGCTATTTCTGTAGCTCTGAAGGTTTTGGTGATCTTTTGATTTGCCTCTTTATTTGTGGCTCCCTGGAAAGGATAATCCTTTTCTCAGAAGTCTTATTTTTGTTCCAATGAGGTGTTTATGAACTGATGTATGTACTCACATCTCACTTCTGTCAGTTTTGACTTTTTTTTTTCCCCAGAGCTCTACTTTACAATATTTGCAAACAATTTTCGTTTCTGAAGGTGAAGGTTGAGAGCGATACTTGGAAATGGTGTGTTTAAGATCCCCATTTGAAGTGGAATGTTTGTGCAGTTGAATTTTCTGTTGCTATGTTTTGCTGCCAATGTATGTTTTTATTCTGGATATAAATATAAAGGATAAAACACGAGCCTGAGTCATCTGAAAAAGAATTTGGAAACTCTGTTGGCTTAATTCAATGCTCGTAGTAGAATTTTTTCCTCTTGTATTGTGTGGAATGTGACATACAAATAAATTGTCGGTACTTGGGAACTCCACACAGCATTTCAAGTATTCCGGTAGTACTGGATTTCTCCCAAAGCAGAGTTAGTTAGCTCAGCTTGTCTCAAAAAGTTGGTCCCAGCTGCATCCATAGCTGCCTAACATTGGTGTGAATTCTGGGAGAACTTAAAATCCTGTACGCTTTGAAATAGGAAATGGAGTATTGAAGTTGTATTAGAAGGGAGGCATAGGTGCATTAAAAAGACTTTCCAGTCAACTTTGTTTGAGGCGGTTAACCAGGCGGCGAAGGGTGGAGCGGCTCTTGGAGTTGAACAGTGCTGTTCCTGTCACAGCTGGCAGGGGTCACTGGAAAGCAGTGGACATTATTTCTTTCCCGCCTCTCCAAAGTTACGTATACTGTCTTCCCAGGCTTTTTATAAATATCGTGTCTTCTACTTGTTTATAGTAGAAATTTTGTTAAAGAAATAGAAACATAATTATTTTTTTTTTCCTTTTCTCAGGACCCCTGTGAGTGAGATTGATGACAGTCACAGGGTTGGGGCTTTTTTGTCTATGAGGAAGTTCTTTTCATAACAAACAGCATGCTCTACGGATTCATCACCAAACATTTTATGTGAATTTTTAGCTAGGCTTACAAAGGACACAAAGCCTGTACAATTGCTCTTCTCCCACTTGGATAACTTCTTTAGTCAGTCAGATGACGAGACCAAATTTAATGGCAACTGAAAGACATTAAGTACCTACACAGTGAGAGATTTTTATAAAACTTACAACAGGTAGTGACCCAAATGAATATTCCCACCTGAAGAAAGGCAGTTAGAATTGTGTCTCTTCTTTCTTCAGAAAGAGAGCAACTGCCGGCCAGTCTGTGTGCTAAGCTCTGAGCCATCGTGGTGCGTATTGCTACTGGCCCAGCCAAATAGTTGGGGCAGTTGGTAATACGGGTGGGGGGCAGGAAAAAAAGTGTTGAGTGAGGTGGAGAAGGACAACAGGGAGCCATGGTACACTGGTAAGAACAGACAGGCTTAATGGCTTCTGCCCATGGAGCAAGGTAGGCCTGTTTTTAGTGTAATGTTTTCTTGTTTTCTGATGGAAACATAGAATCATAGAATCGCTTTGGTTGGAAAAGACCTTTAAGATCATCGAGTCCAACCTTTAACCTAACCCTGCCATCCCACCACTAAACCATGTCCCTAAGCACCTCATCTATCCTTCTTTTAAATACCTCCAAGGATGGGGACTCTACCACCTCCCTGGGCAGCCCATTCCAGAGCCTGACAACCCTTTCAGTGAAGAAGTTTTTCCTAATATCTAACCTAAACCTGCCCTGGCGCAGCTTCAAACCATTCCCCCTCGTCCTATCATCTGTTACCAGGGAGAAGAGGCCGACCCCC